TTCACAGCTAGCTTAATACTAAATGTCAGTAATAGATTATTTTCCAGGAGAATGACAAAGTATCTTATACAACCTTAGTGTCCTGTTTATTAATTTAGCAATGGTTGAAATATAAAATGTCCAAAGCATACTAATTTTCAATTAGAACAAAATTTAAAAATAGAACAAAATTTTCAAATAGAAGAAAAATTCTAAGATAGGTGATATCCTGTAAGGATTTCAAAACATCTTTTTTTTTTTTTTTTTTTTGGTTTTTCGAGACAGGGTTTCTCCGTGTAGCTTTGCGCCTTTCCTGGAACTTACTTGGTAGCCCAGGCTGGCCTCGAACTCACAGAGATCCGCCTGGCTCTGCCTCCCGAGTGCTGGGATTAAAGGCGTGCGCCACCACCGCCCGGCTTAGGATTTCAAAACATCTTAACAAGATCATAAAGAGTTATAACTAACCAAATGAAGCTGAACAGGTGACACAAGTCTTAGCATATTTAGATTTGAGATGTTACTTCTCCAAGTACAAATTGGGAGTGAATTGGACTCAAAGCATCTTTTATTAAAATGCCCTGGAGGTTGTAACTGATAAGAATATAAACATGCTGCAGGGATAAACAAAACACCTCACTAACGTTTTGTCTGTAGAGACCCATTAGCAGAGATCCTATTAGACGGAGATGATAGTTTGCAATAAGCATCACAGACAGCTTTAGCAGAGGTAAGGTCCAGACCCGACATCACCATCATTCCTCAGAGGAACAGTAGAAAATCACATTCAGCCGGGCGGTGGTGGCGCACGCCTATAATCCCAGCACTCGGGAGGCAGAGCCAGGCAGATCTCTGTGAGTTCAAGGCCAGCCTGGGCTACCAAGTGAGTTCCAGGAAAGTTGCAAAGCTACACAGAGAAACCCTGTCTCAAAAAAAAAAAAAAGAAAATCACATTCACCCGAGAAGAGCCCAGGCCATGTGAGGGCTGAGCGAAGCGGTTCAGCATGCCTGGAGAATGCAGGGCTATGGAGGAAGGCACACAGTCCCCAGTGCTCACAGCTTGAGTTTATTCTTGGTGGTGCCTCACTCAGAAGACAAGACTCCACTCTATCCAGTGAAGCTAGATTTTGTTTCCTCTCAGAATCAAGAACTTGAGAGGAAATCTGTTCAAGACTTTTGTGAAACAGAGCTGACAAAGATCCAGACTCTTAGACTATTGTAGAGCCATTGATGGTAGAGTGGGAGTGCTTCTGGCGTGTCAGTAACTTGGGCTTACCAGCCTATGAGGTTTCTTCAGTTTCTAGGCTTCTAAAACATGTTCACCATTTCCTTTCTTCAGGCCATCTTTCATTTTTCATTTTCAATACTTAAGTTTACTTTTAGAAGTCTATGTGTTTAGATTGTCTGACACTTGGCCTAAGAGTCACATATTAGGCTATATCTTGAAGTTCACATTTCAGTTTTTCAAATTTACATATATGTGTGTGCACACACTCATATTTGCCATACACAGGGTGCTACCAATCATTGAGTGGTAGGACCCCAAACCAATCCTAAGCTGTAGAAAAACACCCAGAGTGTTTTAGACTTGTGTCTACCAAGTCTGAGTTTTGAAAATAACTGAATATGTGATAACTGATGGAAAGAAACAGTTTTCCTCTCATTTATCTGTTTCAAGGCTGCCCATGTCATGGGCCTTATGAGACCGAATGTAAACCAAAAGGATTTGTGAAATGTCTCCTTTAAAAGTCTCCCTTGTGCACATAATAAAAGACGTTCAATATGGCAGGCTATACATTTGAATCCCTAAATTAAGGGCACTGCTACTGGTCCTGGAGCTCTTGAGTGGCAAGAGATGAATAGCTATGACACTAGGCTGGGTTTTGAAACCTGATTTGTAAACCCCTCTCTGTGTTCATGTAGGATTAATCCTAAGATTCCCCTGGATACAAAAGTCGGCAGGTGTTCAGGTCCCTCAGCTATAATGCTACATATCCTATGCATTCTCTCATACACTTGGACTCATCTCTAGGTTATTTATAATACCCCAAACAGTGGAAATAGTTATACTAAGTGACAAGAAAATATCTATGCCTACTTAGTAGAGATGCAATTTTCTTCCAAATAGTCTTGGATTGCAGATGACTGGATCGACAGCTGTGAATTTGAAGGGCTACCTCAAAGATCAATGGAGAAGGTGACTGTAATAAAGATTTTTTTTTTTCCACTTCCAAATAGTGCTCCTTGGTGGTTCTTATAGCCACTGAACCAATAACTATTTTGGTGGATATGTACACAACCCATTATGAGAGTGTTTTTTTTTATTTATTCAATAATCATAGCAAATCTTAATTTAGGAAGTATTGTAGGCTACCCGAGTTGGATGCTAAATATAGCTCCCACTTACAGGGAGGTTGAGTCATAGCTAAAAACACTTGGGAAAAAGGATCCCAGACTAAAATCTGTCACATGCTTTCTGTGTGTCAGACACCTCCTTAAAAGCTTTTTGAGTATCAGTGTTTTAATCCAATAGCCACTCAGTCCTGAATAGCAAATACAAACAATCTTAACACAATCACTGACGTTTCCCTACCCCTAGATTGGTATAGATCTGTTGCTGACATAGACAAATGCTCCTTTCCATGCCTCCCCTTCCCATCACTAACTCTTGCTACAGTAGTTTTGACTCTTTAACTGTCCCTGCCTTCTCTGAATATCATTCAAATCACCTGCACCTTTGGCCCCGTGAGAAACGCCCTTCCTATTTCAGGGGTGCTCTCTCCCATCTGCCACAGCCATAGCAATCCATTCCTCTATTAGATCCACCTGCTTCTTCCTTGGGTGGGTTACATAGCCTGCCTCCCACACTGTAGACTTGACCTCGGCCATCTGTCTCCATATGGCCACAGATCTCACAATGCTCCTTACAGCCCAGAGCCTCCCTCTTCTCCCTGCCTGTTACCTCTCCCCTCCTACAGTTCCTTGGCACCTTCTCCTGACTTTATTATCCTGATGCCCTTTCACCTGCTCTCCTGGCTCTCCTGAATTCCTTATCTTCCCTCTCCTTTCCTTGCTGGTCCCTTTTTCTACTCACTTAAGCAGTATCCACACATACCCTCCCCTCACTGTTTTACACTTCTCATAATTTCCCACCACATCCAAGTCAAATCTCCCTCCTTGTCTGTGCATTTCTCCCATCGTGTGCATTTTATCTGGTGGTTTTCTGCATCCTCCAAGAGACAAATCTGTACTCATCTCCTTAGTTCATCTTTCAATTCCTTGAAGCCTCCTCCTGTGTGACAATACTGATCTTTAGAACTCCTTTCTCCATTTCCCCCTTTCAAGCTTCCTCATCTTCCCAGCTTTGCCTTTTCATGTAGAATCTACCTGCTCCACCCAACTATTTTCTCTTGGTCTCATGCTCTATTCTTTCTTACCTTGGACCTTTGGGTCCCTTCACCTCACTGTTTCTGTATCTGGGCTTTACTTTCCTTCTTTGATAAAATTTATTTGATAGAAGAGAACAGTCACAGAATGACATCTATCACTCAGTCCATGTTTTGTTATTCCCTACAGTCTCCACTCTTCTTTCTAGTCCCATTTGGATCCATCTCTGCTGCATCTCTACTGCCCTTTACCTTCTCCTACAAACTGACTGTACATCCACCATCTTATCCCTATACTTAAGCAAGAGCTCATACACAGAGACAGTACATCTAATATTTCTTCCTTCATTGTGGGATTTGTCATTGGGTCCAGTTTGGCTAGCCACCATATGAGAAAAGAAGTATTTAGGCTTTATGTAGATTTGAAGTTTGTCTGCAAAGGGCTGGAGGGCAGGCATGCACACATGGGCATGTTCTCATGCTCTGTTCCTCCTGAGCTCTTGACCCATTGTCTAGTAATTGAGAAAAGATTTTTTTGTTTGTCAACCTGCACTTTTCCCTCCTCTTCCCAATACCTCAAACCATTTCCAAAGCTGCCTATATTAGCTTGCAACCCCAAATAGTAGCTGTAAATAAACAAACCTGCAAAACTTCAGTCTGTGGCTAAGTGCTGTGGGATGTTCTGTATGCTGTGAATGTGTTGCTCTGATTGGTTGATAAATAAAATGCTGGTTGGCCAGTAGCCAGGCAGGAAGTATAGGTGGGATAAGCAGACAAGGAGAATTCTGGGAAGAGGAAGGCTGAGGAGGAGCATGTAATGGCACACAGGTAAAGCCACGGAACATATAGTAACATATCGATTAATAGAAATGGGCTGAGTTTACATGTAAGAGCTAGTCAGTGGTAGGCCTGAGCTAATGGCCAAGCAGTTTTAATTAATATAAGCCTCTGTGTGTTTACTTGGGTCCAAGTGGCTGCTGGACCAGTGGGTGAGAGAGATTTGTCGTGACTGTGGGCCAGGCAGGACACAGGAAAACTTTCAGCTACAGCTAACTATGAAATGGTAGTTATTTTAGCATAGGTATTCTTTCCAGGTACCAGTCACATTTTTTTGGTTCCTTTCCCAGCTATTGGTGTAGGAGACAGAAAGACCCTTGGAACCTTCATCCTAACCCAGTGAAGTCTATGCTGTCAGAAATTAGAAGTGCTATGACATCATCCTAAGCAGGGAAGCACCATCTACTTGCTATACTTTTTTTGGGTATCCACTACACCTCATTCCTTCTTTTTTTTTTAAGATTTATTTATTTATTCATTTATTTATTTATTATGAACACAGAAGAGGGTGCCAGATCGCATTTCAGATGGTTGTGAGCCACCATGTGGGTGCTGGGAATTGAACTCAGGACCTCTGGAAGAACAGTCGGTGCTCTTAACCTCTGAGCCATCTCTCCAGCCCACCTCATTCCTTCTTATCATTCCTACCCTTCACCAGAAAATAACTTTAGGAAAAATAAGTTAGGATTCACAGTAACAGACGCATAGAGCTTCACGTCACATCCAATAGCTTCCATGCCACTCACATTTCTCATACAATATTCCTACCTTGCCCAAATTTGAGAGAGGAGTCCAGACTCACTTCCAGTTCTGTGTTTGGGAATAGACAATGCTAGTGGCAGAGCTAAAGGAAAAACACAAGGTGCCCCAATCCTCTTTTAGTGGGCCCATGGAAATGCCAGGCTCCATATGGTGATACCCAGTGGGGACCTCCCTTGAGGGTTACATCTAACAAACCCAGACAAGTAGTCAGAAACACAGCTCTTCATTCCCAGAAAAACACCCAATAGTTACTGTTTTATTGAATACAATGGACACCAACTCAATGTCTAGGGAGCAACCAAAACCATAGAAACTGATGTAACATTTACAAGTAGCATGGCCCAGTTCTCTTCAGAACTCCCAAAGGGTAAAGGAAAAATGATGCCAGCTCCCTTCCTTCTTAAAGCCCAGGTTGGGAAGACCTTGGACTCCCATCCCTTTCAAAACTTTCAATCCTGTTCTTTACATGAGTGCCTCAATCCTGTTCTGCCCCACAGCCCCTGACAAGGACCTTCTCTTTACTCTTTCGTCTCAGTGGCATGACTGTTCTTGCTTTTGTCTCTCACCTCCTCTGGTGCAGGTTGCTCAAGGGAAGAGGCAGTCTGCTCCTCTGGCATTTTGCTTAGTGAGGACCCTGTCTCTGGTCTAGTGCCTTCAGGAAGCCCATTGAGTCCTAATGAAGGCTGCTTGCTCACAGTCTGAGCACATGGAGCCGGAAGCAGGTCTGGAAAGAAGCCATCTACCCCCAGGGGGTGCCCCAGAGTCTGTGGGCAGAGTGGACCAGGGAAGGGAGGTTCTGGCAGACAGTGGCCACTCCAGGGTCCTGGACCTGTGGAGTCAAAGAACATGGGAATTATTGGACAGGACTAAGAGCATTGAACACTACTAAATTGTGTGAGTCTCTTTCTCCTTCCTCAGGACCACGGCTCAGGTCCCTAGTGCCGTCTGAGTGAGACATTAATACCAGCCTCTCCCTCAGGATCAGACAGGCCCCTGCACTCCAGGTCCTGTGATTTAGTAGAGCATGGGTAGAGGCCAAGGGCTGGCCCATATAAGCACCAAGGAGACCTGGAACCACCTGGCCATCTCTTTCATTCCCCCCTATGGAAAGAACCCTCTCATTCATGTGATGGAGGGCCTTGGGGTTTCAGAAGTCTAGGTAGTTAGGCATAATATCTGCTAACAATTCTGTACCAAGTTCTTTTGTTCATTATTTCTAATGGTCACCACACCTTTCAGCAATATGAATCCAGTGCTCCAATATCAGATCCACAAAAGTTTCAGAACAGCTCCAAGCAGGGGCAAGCCGGAGCTCTGCTCGCCACCCATGACCTGCCTCATTCTGCCTTCCAGCTAAGGAGGTGCTCTGTCCTTCTCACATTCAAACAAAAGGGAGTGGGGACCTTCCTCTCCAGCCCCAACTCACCCATGTATCCAGCATGTGGCTGTAGCAATAGCTGACCAGGTGGAGGCCCTGGGCAATAATCCTGTGATGTGTCCCCACTGAGGCCAAAAGGAAAAGAAAAAAGAGAGTCTTCCGGCGGGAGAAAGCTTGGGATGGGGAAAGGGAAGGGGGGCAGATAAGGAAACTGGGACTGAAACGGTGGGAAAAGAGGAGTCTGTGGAGCCTGGGGGAACTGGAATGAACCCAACTGGCTGCTTGCTTGGTAATACTGAGGCCCCAGGTCTTCCAAATTTGAGGGTGATGAGGAGATGCTATGGAGAACAGAGGAGCATTTAGTAAGGTATAACAGTGACCTTGTTCCCAGTTTAAAAAAAAAAAAAAAAGCCTTAACCCCTTTCTCCATCTCTGTGGCAACATCAACCCTTGGACATCACTTCTGTCTCATCTCCCCTCATCCCCGACCCCCTGCTCACTCGTTCCCCTTGTTTCTCTTCTATTGCTACAAATACTGGATCATTCCTACCCCAGACTCACCCATCTTCCTACTCCCTATCACATAAGCCACTTGGACCCACTCAGCCCCTTCCCTCTCCCCACTGTCCTCTCTCCAAGTTACATCTGAACTTCGGTTCCATACCTGGGGCCCCAGGACCCACAGGGGCTGTCCTTGTGTAGGCTGTCACTTCCAGGAATGTCCCTTAGTGGGGGCATCACTTGAGGAGTTTGCATAGGACCAAGAGGAAGAGGAAGGTTGGTCCTTCGAAGAGGTGGGGGGCTTAAGAGTGGTGAGGTCTCTGCTACCCTCTGAGCACCCTCACTTTGCTGAGAGGGGGTCAGAGGCTGGTCAGAAGTCAGCAGCATGGGGGGCTCTAGGAAAATATGGAAAATAGGGGATCTCAGCATAAGAAGGTGGGCACTGGGAGGCAGCTATGGCACTGCTGAATGGCAGATGGTGCAATGCCTGGGGATCCCCTGCTAACCTCTATGGAGCAAGGACTTCCTGTTCCGACTGCCTTCTTTTTTCATCCCTGCCCTGCCCACAAACTTTCTGAAGGTGGTAGCTCACCTGGAAAGGGGTCCAAAATGTGCTCTGGGGGAACAGGGCCGGGTTCTAGATCTGTAGGCATGGGAGCTGGGAGCTCAGGTGCAGACCTGCAGCCAGAGTGAAGGAAGACTGTAGCTTCCATGGCCACTGGATTTAGAACTCAGATTCAGTGCAAGGAAATGGCCATTTAAAGGCACCAGCAACTCCTTGACTCCAGCCCAGCCCAAATCCCCTGAAGGGTTAGTCAACACCCTCAAGCACTCTGATGCCCAGCTTCCAATTCCCCTTTAAGGCCCCCCAGGACTCCCGTGTGGACAACCCAGGAGCGTTCTCACCTGCTTTGACTGCTGTCCTCACTGGGGGCTGCAGGACCATCCCGACTTTCCTTCTCGCTCAGTTTCTCCACTTTTCGCCACTTTGCCCTACGGTTCTGAAACCACACCTACGAACGGAGGAAGGGGACCCAAACTTGAGAATGCTGGCAGAGACAAAGTCCTGGGTGTCACTGTGAAGGACACTTTACTGGGTTTCAGCTACTTCACTTCAAAATATAAAAAGACCCTGGTAAGCACGGGAAGCCTAACGTCATGGGTTTGGCCCTAGTGTCATCTAAAGATGTGCGACACACAAACCCATGCTTGCTGAACCAGGCCTAGCCCGCAGTCTTTCCTCTGTAATTGGTTAAAGCTGTGGCCCATAGAACAGCTGGGACACCCCTGCATCTGAGCCTGACTTGGGTCTCTATGCCAGCTGAGACTGAGCACATGCCCTCTCCCAGAGAGCTCTGACCAGCAGCAGCTTCCATATCACCCTACTGGTCAATTAGCCAGCCCTTTACCATGATGCGTTGGGGGGTGACCCCCACCATCTGGGCAATCTCCCGGCGCTTGTCACTGTCTGGATAGTGGTCTTCCTGGAATAGCCGTTCCAGCTCCTCCAGCTGGTCTGCAGAAAGAAGACACTTATGAGGGAGGCCAGACACCACAGCAGGAGAGAAGAAAAGGAGATGCCCATTGGGCACCCATAGCAGGTACGACCATTGGTGCCAAAGCAAGAGTATGCCGCCTCTCATGCATAGTGTGATATATGCATTTCTGATTCTTCTATCCTGGTCTAACAAGCCAAGACAGCCTGCCTGGCCTTCCCTTTCAGGGTCAGAGGTGTTGGCACTGCCACAGATGAAGAGAAACATGTAGGACAAAGTGACTAGCCATACCCCAACATCTCCTGGGGCTACACTCTTTGCACTGATCTACAGTTTTCTCTGCCTTTCGGAACTAACCTGAACGGTACAGGGTTCGAGTCTTTTTCCGAAATTGACAGGTCACTTCTAGGGACTCCTTCTTCAGGTCCTCCTCTTGACTGTTCTTGGCCAATGTATTGAGGAGACTGCGGGCTAGGCCTGGTTCAGAAAGCATAGGTTTGTGTGTAGCACATCTTCAAGATGACATTAATGCCAAACCCACGGTGTTAGGCTCCCCGTGCTTACCAGGGACTGAAGAAATGGATGGCTTTGCTGTCTTTACCTCTGTCTCTAGAGAAGTAACTTCTTCCTGGGCTTGGGGACTACAAGCAGCTGGTGCTGGGTCTTTGTAGGGGCCCGCTGTGTGTGTGTCAGCACCCATTAACTCTGCAGAGGCCTTTGACAGTGGTCTCTTTCCCGAGCCAGCCCTGGGAAATGAGGACTGCTTGCCCTGGTCATCTTCAGTCCGTGAAACGGAAGCCTTCAGTGGTCCCTCTGACTCCGGCCCAGGAGTCCGGGGCTTGCCTCCAGCTTCCTGGCCTGTGGAGAGCAGCAGGCCCTGGTACCAGGTGGTAGAGTCCCTTCCTCCCTGCAGCTGATCTGTGGTTAGAAGCCAAGCTTTCCTTTGCCTGTCCACCAAATGAGGCCTGAATGCCTGGCATACCTTCCTAACTGGACAGTCGGGAGGATGGACTAGATAGGTTCTCAACCTTTCTAATGCCGCAGCCTTTTAATACAGCGGTGACCCCCAACCATAACATTATTTTCATTGCGACTTCATAACTGTAATTTTGCTACTGTTATGAATCATAATATAAGTACCTGTGCCTTCCAATTTGTCTCAGGCGACTGGGACCCCGGTGAAAGGGTCATTCAATCCCCCAAGGGGATAAACAAATATTGCAACCCCGAGGGGTCTTAATGTGAGAACAATGGAAAACTGGGTACACATTTTCTTATTCCCCCCGCCCCCCCACGCCAGACATCAGAGGTGCAAGTTCAGGGGACAGGCACCAGGTTTGATCTAATAAACAGCTGTTGGGGCAGGGGTGAGTAGGAAGAGAAAGAACAGGCCTATTATTCTGGCTTTCGTCAGACCAGCCCCCTTGCCCCAGGAAGCTAGGCTCTGTGGCCACAGAGGAGACAAATCAGGCTCCCTGGGGCTCCGCAGAACAGGCACGAGGACATCAGAGGGGTCACAGGAAAGGTGCCTCTGACTTCCCTCCTCCCTCCCCCCCTCCCCGCTCCTCACTCCGCTGCTCTGGCTCCTTCCCCTCCCCCCTCCCACCCAGTCCAAGTGTTCCACAGGTGAGGGGAAGCGCCCATCCAGAAGGAAACCCCCCTTCACACAGTGGTAAAGCTCAATCTCCCCCACCCCAACTCTGAGTCCCCTTACAGATGGGGCTCGCCATGGGTGTTATCAAGAGCACAGTATGCCAGGCGGTGGTGGCGCACGCCTTTAATCCCAGCACTCCGGAGGCAGAGCCAGGCGGATCTCTGTGAGTTCGACGCCAGCCTGGGCTACCAAGTAAGTTCCAGGAAAGGCGCAAAGCTACACAGAGAAACCCTGTCTCGAAAAACAAAAAAAAAACAAAAACAAAAAAAAAAAAACAAAAGAGCACAGTACCCACTGGGTCCCCACGAGGCAGGCATTCCCCCCACCCCAGGTGACGAAATGGGGATAAGCTTGCGGAATGATCGACCCAAGGGCACACAGGGTTGGGGTACAGGAGCACAGACAGGCTAACTACCCCTCGGCCACCACCTGGAACTTTCCCCAGGCTCCCAAACACTTGCCCTCTTTTCTGCGTATATTCCTAACAAAAGAAATATCCCTTCAGGGAGTTGCTGTCATTTCCACCAGAAAATGTGTGAGTGACCGCTGCTGACTAAAGCTTCTGATGTCGCCTCTTAACAAACAGCTTCCTAACAATATATAAAGCTAGCGGGCAAGAGCTGGCTCAGAAGCCTCTTCCAGCTGACTCCAAATACACAATGCAACCACTTCAGAGAGGGGGAGAGGATAAAGGTGGACCAAGGGACACTGGGACAAACTAAGCTTTACAACAGTTTAGGGGGGCTTGTCGCACACTAATAAACATGGTACAGAGTGGACACTCAACAACCTGAACCTTGTTGGACTGAGAAAGGTGAAGGGCCTCAGAACCTAGATTAGAGCAGTGTTGGAGACTTAAGACCAGGTCCGTCTCCAGCATATCAGGGATGATTCCTAAACAGAAGGCTGCGGTGAGGTCGCCTCCCTTCCCCACTACCACCCACAGACCTAAGCAGCCTCTTAAGGTTGTCAGTGGGCTCAGCAAGCCCTCACTAAGGTCGACCCCGATGCGTGCTCACCCCGCGTTTTCCTGCAGAGCTTCTCGGTGGGTTCCATGGCCCGGACTCCCACTTCTCAGCTCGCCCTGGTGCCACAGGAGCAGCCTTAATGAAGTCCGTGGGGTGGCCAGGTGTGTGGAGTCTGCACAGGCCAGGGCGAGCGCAGCAGGAGCCTGCGCCCCCAACCCCACCCCCAGGGCGAGGCACAGCACACCTGGGGTGGGGTGGGGGGGCTGGGAGATCCATCCTGCAGCTTCCTGAGCGCCTTTATGCAGCCCCAAGGGGGTCCAGATGCCGGTCACCTCCCTAAAGCTGGGGCAGGAACAGGGCAGCAGCAGGATTGCCGAGCTGCTGGGGTGTCTTCGAAGGTGAGGTTCCCAGGCTCAGCACACATTGTATGGACATGATTCCACGTGCTTACGTCTTGACCCTTGTGTAAGGAGACTTCTGCAACCACTCAGGAAGAGAGTCCCCAAATGTGAGGCTGCCCAATCTCCTGCCTGCTTCAAGGATTTTTTGTGTCTCAAAGTCCGAAGTGACTTGAACATCCTTAACTTATAGATCCAGGAGCAAATGGCAGGATCGGAGCTGAAAGCACCTCAGGCCCGAAGGAGAATATGCCTTGCGTATTTTTGCGCCGACCTCCGCACCCCCCTCAAGCGCAGGTATAGACGAGGTTCAAGCTAGTCTAGGTTTTCTTATTAGGCTTACTCATTTAATATCAGTTTTCTAATCTAAGAAAGAAAGGAACACTCCTGGTTCACGGAATGTTTCTTATTTCTCTTAGGGAAAACATACCAAAATTATAAAATTCTTACTGTTTCTTATTTCTACCACGGAAGTGGGAGGAGGTGAGGAATGTAAGTGCTGGCCAGATTGAACCAGCTGCTGGGAGCTGGGGGAGGAAGAGCCCTCCGGACCGGAGCTCAGGTGTTCTGATTTTAGCATTTCAGAGCTCCTGGACACCCGGCGGTTTCCTGCTGTATTAAACGATCTGCCACCGGGACATTTTCTTGTGTTTTAAAATCATCTTTGAGAAGCTTCCTCTACCCACCTGTGGACTCCCTCCGAGAGGCTGTGGGACTCTTAATTCCTTCTGAAACATAAAAATAAGGGCCAGGAAGATGGCTCAGTGGGTAGACGCACTTGTTTCACAAACCTGATAATCTGAGTTCAGTCCCCAGTGAGAGGTGGAAGGAGAGAACCAACTCCTGAGAGTTGTCCTCTGACCTCCATAAGTCCTGGGGTGGTGCAC